TGAATCAAGTTGAAAAGAGAATCTGAGTTTTATATTAATGGGGCCAAAGTTAAAGACCGTAATATTATCAAAATTTTGGGAGGCCATGACCACTCCCCTGCATCCCCTTTATCTCCAGGTCATCCAATTTGACAAACTCACCTGTAAGTCTAACCCTGGGATCGAAGAACGTGATGATTTAGAGCACAAGCCGAGCAGACAAAGGGGATGCTCTGGACTGCACCACGAAAGTGTGCACTAGTCGTCGGCTTAATTTGGCGTGTGTTTTTTCAACGGCCTAATTTTATCCCTAATTCCCCAACAAGCAGCGGCAGAGGCAGGGGCAGAGGCCGAGACAGAAACAGGAGCTGGGGGTCTCTCGTGTAAGAGCATCGCGACAATTGCATGGAAATGCATGTAGTCATTTGTCAGTATATCACTGACGCTATCTAATCGTTCCAACGCATAAAAATCAACACATGCCCGACACGATTCAAACTGCCTTTGTCCATTCGATTTAACCCACAACTTTGTCTCTCCCCTTTCCCGATTACTTGTCCTGCTTTTGCTTTTCAGCTTTTCTTCTTCCATTTCCTTCTATTTTTTAATTTTTAAATTATTATTTATCTTTTTTATTGAAAATGAAATCAATTTTAATTTAGATTCCGAAGAAACAATTATATGAGTATGATATCTAATAAAATATTATTATTATTATTATTATTATACCACATGTAAATCAAAATTTTTTATGTATTAGTTACTACATTATTGAACATTCTTTTTGTTCCATTTTGTTTGCTCATATTTGATTTTTTTTTATTAAATTACTTAACTTTGATTTTTATTTTTTAAAATATATATTGAATTAAAATTTAAAAAATATGCTTTGAAAATTTTGAATTTTAAAATTTTATAAATTTATTAAAATTAATAATTGAAATCAAATTCATTTGACTCAAAAAATTAATAAAAGAGAGACAGAAAACTGTATAATTTACTTCATTAAAGATCAGAATCCAGGAACTTGATGAATGTCCTATTTGGAAGATTGGCAATAAATAATGTTCCAAACAAATAAGGATTCAAATTATATTGTTAATTTATTATAGATTTAAGTGATCTGATGGTAGAGTGTTGAACATTTAGTTCTGATGACCAAAAATCAAAATCTAACAACTGTAAGTACCAAAAGCCCTATTTGGAAGATTGGCAATTAAACCAAGAACACTTATCAACGCAAATAGAAAAAGTTGGTGCTCACCAAACCATCAAAAATTCAAAACCAAATTACCCATTAGGTTTTGTGATGTTTTCTACAAATTCCACAGTGTCTGGCCAGGGGAAAGTGAGCTAAGAACCCATTGGGCGCAGGCAAGGATTAAAGAGCCTGCTGGGTGCTCGCTGCCATCGTGGAATGGCCATGGGGAACAAAACTTTTGAAACTGCTTCCAACATGCACGTTCAATTAAGCTGCTACTTCTTGCAACTGCTTCTGCTTGATCGGGTGGAGGTAAATTTTTGCCTTAAGAAAACATCAAAACATTGTTAATTAAGCATTAGAGCGAGCATCAGTATTCTCAACTTTTAGACGAGTTTGTCACTTTCACAACCAGCTCCCATTTCTAATCTACAAAACAATCAAGGACCTAGCGGAAATTCTGTATGTATTACATATCTAAGATTTTGATGAAGGGCCTTTGGCACCCATCTACACCAATCCAACATCCCCTGCAATAATCCACTGTGGATATCAGTCAGACAGTCACTTCAAACCTCTTTTTAATGGAGTACAAATTTCTAAGTCCAATTTTGTGTCTCCACTTCTATGATTATCTCTTCAAATACACAGATGTTGGAATTATCTTGAAGTGCTCCTATGTCAAAGAAAAAAAATCAGGTCTCATTGCTCATGGAAATAAAATGTAATTAAATTTGATAATAATTCATATATTTATATCATATTAAATATCGATATATGTTTATATCATATTTAAAATTATTATATTTAATATAAGTTAATTGTTTAAGACAAATTTAATTCTAACGTGGCGAACTTGAACCATAATTAATTTATTACTCAATTTTGAATGAAGAAAAATATAAAGAAATCACATCATAGTTTATTTTAGTTTTTTCTTTCTTTTGTAGTTGAATTTGAGTTTCAAGTAAAATCACATAGGAAAAGCTAAATTCATGTCATAAGCTTAACTAGCCAGCAAATATAAATTAATTTTCCACTTTGAGTAGGATAAAAAGCAATAATTAGAACCACCAAAATTGGTTTGTCTTTTCTGAAACTCAATAGCTTGGATCTTTGTTTTATCTGTTCCATGATGTCTAGTCCAATTTTTCCCAATGAAAATGTTGGTTTTTTTGGGCCAACGGCAATTCTCTCGGGTCCACCCCTCTGAGATATCTATAATGCTATGAATCATTGCTAGTAAGCCTAGTATTCTGTATTCTGATGAATCGTAAGGAGGGTGGGCCAGGAGTGGACCAAGTATAGCTGGGAAATAACCTCATATGACAGCTAATTCCCCCCATTGTCCACCGAACTACTTACCTAATATGCAATTTCCATTTTCCTTTGGAGTTCGGATGCAACTAGCAATCCCATTTGGGGCCATTTCCCACTCTTTTTGACAAAGTGAAATTATTATGGTTGCGAGTGTTCGAGTCATTTGTTAATAAAATATTAAAATTTTAATTTTGATTAATTTTTAATAATTTTAAATATTAAAAAAGAAATTAGTATGATTCTTGGATTTTGTTTTCAAGTGAAGAGAATAAATCAAGTAAAGTAGCGTTTAGAAAAGGTCAACTAAATTTTAAATTTGGAAATAAAACTTGATAATTACCAAAATTATAATATGAATAAAACTTATTTCAAATTTTGTTTTATATAGACAGCTAAATACTACATCTTTTAACAATTAGGGTTTAACATTGTAAAGTATAAATTGACATTTTGAGAATTAAAAAATATGAAGTAACATATTTGAAGATATATGTAAGAATATATCTAATTAATGAAATTGATGAATGCATGTATAATTTAAACCTACCAATTAGATTAATCCTAGTTATAGGCAAGAATAAGAATTTGTGATGGCAAACTAAGTAGCAACTCTTGCCTATTTATATGTATAAGACATACACCACCTTTTAGGAATAAAATTTTAAATCAATTTTAATTTGGAGTTTGCTTTGGCCAATCGATTTGGAGTTATGTAATGTTTTATACGTGTACTAATGGATTTGAGTCTATTTGACCTAATCTATATTCGAACAAGACTTATTCAAAACCTATAAGAAAAATGTATGTAGGATCCTTGGAGATCACTATATACAGTGGTGAGTATAAATCCTTGTCATCTTAAGACTAATATTTTACTTAATTTCTTTTAATACAATTTTTTTTTTGTTAAATTAAGTAAGAAACCTTATTTATCCACTAATTACAATACGATAATGTCCATCAATCCATTGCAACTTATCTTTGCAGGAAAAAAAAAAAAACTTGCAAATGAGTTTCTCATTACAATCTTTATTAGTCAGTCCTTTCGCCATACCATGCTTCTCGTGATCTTTATTGATAAATAATTTCTATTGTCATGTATCAATGAATTTCATGTTAATTTATTGGACTTTGAATTTTTTCTTCATAATTCTATAAACTTTTAAAAAACACACCAGCTGAATTTCTTGAGTTTAACATTCTTTATAAATATCGTTTAATTCTTTTTTCAATAAAAAATGATAAATCCTTGTGACGGTTCCCTTTTTTGGGGGGTTGATGTATACAAGACTTGTCTAAAACTGATAATAAAAGAAGAGGGAATAATGTTTGGATGTTATTACATAATTTTCCTTATTGCACTTACTTTACATACTAATTCAAATTGACTTGCTGATATATATTTGTTATAATCATGTCTAATGGTAAAGAAACGAGACCTCACCTAACAAAAACATGAACTATGACTGCTTTAAAAATATGATCAAGTTGGCGATGCTCTTCAAATAAAGTATTCCAGAAGCAAAAATCATTAGCCATGGCCGTTTTTGTGTCCCCCTATTAATAACATTCTATTAATTTCCCAAAAGAATATTGTAAAGTTCCTGTCATTTGAATGTGCAATTTTTCTAAATAAGATGGAATCACAAGTCAATGGCAAGTAGGAACATAGAGAACTTGCTAAAATTATTATTGATAAAGTTCTGGATACTAGTGAGTCAAATGGTGATCTGAAAAGTGAGTTGGAAATGGTTTGTACTTGCAATAGAAAAAATACATTTAAAAGGTGTCGGAATTAGTTTTTTAGGACGTGTTTCGACATTCTAATTAATCAAATGTTTAGGTTTTTTTGGAGATAGAAGGTAAGTTGTAGAGAATGTAAAGGAAATTTAGGAAAAATAGGTTCAAAATAACTATACATATATATTTTTTTATTTATATATGAGACAATGAATGACAATATAATCAAAGTTATTAATAATTGATGAAAATATATGTGGAACTCGAGGAAGGGCATGGGTTGCATTAATAATTCTAAGCAAATTTAATGTAAATTGGTTTATAGTAAGGCGATTTGTTAATAAAATATTAGTAGTGATAATTGAACGAGTTCTTTCTATGGACGAATACGTAAGGGCAAGCCTGTATTGTGACAAAAAAATGTTAATTCTCTTTAGTAATGACGTAACAATCAAATCTATAGTGACTTAACCAATGGAGAAATTGATCTTATTAATCGAGTATAGGTATGAAAAAGGCAACGATAGATAAGGCTTGATTATGAATTATGTTAGAAAGTGGGTTGAAACTTGGGAGGATTGCTTACGCCCAAAAAAATCACCCCAAACTCTAAAATTGATGGACCAAACTCCCTCACATGAAAAAGAGAAGGGCAAGGTGGTGAAGGGGGCATCATTGATACAAAGTCATGATTTGAAAAATTCAAGTGGACACATGCCATGGCCGAAACAAAACAAATATCCCCGAAGAGTGTACCCTCACCAATAAACACATAGTCCATTGATATTTTCGATGGGCAACGGTCGCCTCGCTCTATATGTCTATTCAGTATGTTTCTTTAATTACCCTAAAAAGACTAAAAAAATAAAAAGAAAGAAGAGTGATCGGTGCTGGGGATGAGGATGTGGGCTGGCTTTGTGGTCCTCTTCGTAGATATATCAAAGTCTCGGTCTATTTGCGTTGTGTCGTGCAAGTATGCACCAATAACTGGAACCGAAACATATTCAGATTCCGAAATAGTAGTTGTAGTATTTAGTAGGGATGGGATTGGAGTAATGGACCACCCCACCCCAAAAGTCCAATACCCAAAAGAAAAAGAAATAATGAGCCTATTTCCTTTTCTTAAGTTTAATCTCTCAAGACACAAAGTCTCACCCCACATTACCCTTATCCCCAAAACCATAAAGTCCCATCCCAATAACTACCTTTCTCCTTTCAGGTCCATTTAGCACTTTCGGGTCTGTTCTAACCCCAAATCCTCCCCTCTTACTTTCTCTCTCTCTCTCTCTCTCTCTCTCTCTCTCTTCACGCAAAACCCTGGACCCCTCAGTCTTCAACGTCTTTTTCCGGGCTTCAAGTCCGCTGCCAGATCGTTTCTCTTTGGGTTTTTGATAGGTAAAAATATTACCCTTACCTACTTAATTTCTCTCTTCCTTTGTTTGACTCTAATTTTGTCTTTTTTCCCCTTCTTATTTTGTTGATGTTTGCTTTCTTGTTCATTGTTAATTTGAGTTTTGGGCTCGATTTTTAAGGTTTCATGTTTCAGTGTTATGAGAATTACGATAGTTGCTTTTGATTATATTGACAAACATAAGAGATTGTTGGAATTTTTGTCTTTACAGTTATGGAAGTTGAATACTTTGTTTTAAAATGAAACGATGTGTTCCTTTTCATTTTTCCTCGTTTTGCGCTTTTGCCTTGTTATATATGGCTTTCGTTTCTTGTTTCAGGCTTTGATGGGTCTGTCCTTTTGAGTTTTGATGATCTGGCCGGGTAGTTTAGTAGATTCCTCAATTCCTGCTTTTTTACTCCGTACGTTAATGGGTTTTTGCTCTTGTTGTTGATCTGAGCAGGCAAACATGGGTTTTTTTCTTCTTTTTTTTCAGCCTTTTTGATCTGGGCAGTTGCATTTGAGACTTTGAGTTTGATCTGGGCTCCTTCTTTTTTCTTTAATGTTTTTTTATTATATTTTTGAAATCCTACATCTACTTTGTCAGATATCATCGGTCAAAGCTCATTTAGATGTAAGACGCCTATTTTACCCGTGGTCCGTAAGGTGGGCCTATTTGATTTATATCTGGTAATGTAATGTTAGTTGTTATCATATGATTTGGTTTTGGAATGGACCCACCGGACTGTGGCCCAGGCCCAATTGTTCCTTCATCCAGTGGCTTAACATCTATCCCGTAAGTGAGTTTGACTTGGCTGTAAGCGGGTGAACGCTTTGAGAGCCATGCTTTCAGGAAACATGGCTACTCATACCAGCCACCTTTTCCTCAGATGTCCAAAAGAAAAAGGGAGATAAATGTAATTTGTCCCATGAACCAATTTAGGGATAGTACATTGGTTGTTAACTTAATTGCATCATGTGGTGTCGACATCCCAAGTTGAAACTATCTAATGTCCTTAGTATGAAACACATCATAACGACAATTATTCTAATGATTTCAGCCTTAATGTTCATATAGGCAATATGATTACGATATGTTGTTAAATGTTCAACTACCTAGGATAAAATTTTAGTTGCATATGTTTAATAAGGTGTTACTGATGGTAAAGTCATTGTTGGATTCTTTTATTCTTTTCTTCCCGATCAAAGCAGCTCCTATTTGTAGTTGTGGATTGCCTGCCCATGGAAATACGCAGTGTAGCATGCACATACTATAACCATATCATGCAGTGTAGTTTATTACACTTGCAACGATGAGGGCATATACGACATCATTGACTCAAACCCTGACTGTTCTGCGGTTTAAAGTTGAAATGGATTAAGGTTTCTTTTCTCTCTTGAAGCTCTTGCATGGGAAGATTCTGTTTCGAATGTGTCTGTTAAAATTGGTTGAGTGCTCTGGCAAAACCTCATCATTTCCTGTATTTTCTAGCATCCGAGTTATGTTAGCCTTAATGGTACTTGGAACTACTCTTTTGTTAAGTTATATATACATATTTTTAATTCTTTTTAAAATTTCTTTTGCTTTCAGCATCAAGGCTTATTTCTGGACAGAAATGGAAACAACCCCTGGGGACAATAACAATGAGCCTGCCCTGACCACCCCTGAAACACAGCCTAGCAAGCGAAGAAAAAGAAGTCCATGGTTTGGGAATACTTTACCATTTAAATTTTGAGTGCTGGATGTAGAAGAGCATGCTGTAAGCATTGCAAGCAAAGTTTTGCCTATAGCGCTGGTTCGAAGGTAGCAGGTACCAGCCACCTCAAACGTTACATTCCTGCCCAGCACTCTTACGAGGCCAAGATAACAAGCCATTGACCCCGTATAACCCAAGGATGGGTGGAAGTGAACCACCAAAGTGACTCTACAGATCTCCTAGTTCCCCTCACATTCCATTTGATCAGGACCGTTGCCGCCGTGAGATTGCAAGAATGATCATCCTGCATGATTACCCTCTTCACATGGTTGAGCATCCTGATTTCATAGCTTTTGATCAAAATCTTCAGCCTCGGTTTGACAAAATGCGTTTCAACACTGTTCAAGGGGATTGTGTTGCAACTTACCTGAGGGAAAAGCAAAGCCTCATGAAATTTGTTGAGGGTATTCCTAGACGCTTTTGTCTTACACCGGACATGTGGACTTTAAATCAAACCCTGGGTTATGTGTTTATAACTGGACACTTCGTAGATAGTGACTGGAAGTTGCATAGACGGGTTCTCAATGTCATAATGGAACAATATCCTGACTCCAATTCTGCTCTAGGTCATGCTGTTTCTGCTTGCCTGTCAGACTGGAGTTTGGAAGGCAAGTTATTTTCCCTCACCTTCAATCGTCCACCAAGTGAAGCTGAGCTGAAAAATCTTAGGCCTTTACTCTGCATTAAAAATCCCCTTATTCTTAAGGTTCAGCTGTTAATTGGAAACTGCACAGCTCATACTTTGAGCATTATGGCGAAGGATGTGCTCAGAGCAGGTCAGGGGATCATCAAGAAAATCCGCGACAGTGTAAAGTATGTGAAGACATCAGAATCCCATGATGATAAGTTTGTTCAAGTTAAAAACCTGCTTCAAGTGCCAAGTGAAAAGAGCCTATTTCTTGATAATCAAACTCAATGGAACACAACATACCACATGCTTGCAGCTGCTTGTGAATTGAAGGAAGTCTTTAATTGTTTGGATGCTTCTGATCCTGATTATAAGCTAGCCCCATCAATGGAAGACTGGAAGCTAGCTGAGACTTTATGCACTTTCTTGAAAGCTCTTTTTGATGCAGGCAGCATCCTTACAACTACAACTAACCCTACTGCAATTACATTCTTTCATGAAGCGTGGAAAATACATGCAGACTTGGGTCGTTTCATCACTAGTGAGCATCCGTTCATCAGCAATCTTGCTAAATCAATGCAAGAGAAGATTGATAAGTACCGGAAGGATTTAGCCTCGTTTTGGCAATTGCAGTAGTCATGGATCCTCAATTCACAATGAAACTTGTTCAGTTTCACAAAAATTTATGGTGAAGATGCTCCCACACATAACAACATTGTTGATGATGGAATTCTCGAGCTCTTTGTTGAATATGTGTCGCTTCCACTGCCTTTGACACCAACTTATGCAGAAGAAGGAAATCCTGGAAACAAGGGAAAGACTGATGAATTTCATCAAGGAAATCTTCTTTCTGATAATGGACTTAACAGATTTTGATGTCTACATTATGGAGACTACTAGCCAGCAGATGAAGTCTGAGCTGGATCAGTACTTGAAAGAGTCCTTGTTGCCTCCTGTCTAAGAGTTTGATGTGTTAGGTTGGTGGAAGCTGAATAATCTTAAGTATCCAACCCTTTCAAAGATGGCTTGTGACATTTTGTCCATTCCAATATCTGCTGCTGCTCCTTACTCAGTCTTTGATATCATAGACAAGCAACTGGATGATTACCGTAGCTCCTTACGACCAGAGACAGTCGAAGCCCTAATCTGTGCCAAGGACTGGCTTCATAATGGATATGAAGCAATGCACTTGTTAAAATGGAATTTTAGATGTAGGTCTTACTTCCATCAAAGTATCATATTTGGTTTTCTATTTCACTATTAGGCTTAGGGATGGCATCGGGTCGGGTTTTGCTCGCCCCGAACCCGACTCGATTTTTTTGCTCATCAAACCCGACCCGACCCGACCCGACAATATGTAAACCGTATCCGATTCGATCCGATTCGATCCGAAATTAATAAAATATTATTTTTTAAATATAAAATATTATTTTTTAAATATAAATATTTAAAAATATCATTATATAAATATAAATATATATAATTAATTAATTAATTAATTAAAAAATAATTTTTTAATAATGTCGGGTCGGGTAAGGTCGGGTTTTAGGCATACTCGAACCCGACCCGACCCCGACTATTACTAAATTTACTCGACTCGACTTTGACTCGAAACCCGAAATTCAAAAAAAAAATCCGATCTTATAGGGTCGGGTCGGGTCAAAACCCGTCAGGGACGGGCTTGATTGCCGTCCCTGATTTAGGCTTGTATTTTGTATGATTTAGGCTTGTATTTTGTACAATTAGAAAGAATTGTATGGATGCTTGGACTTGAAAACTTAATTGCTAGAGGTTTTTTTTTTTTGCCATTTCATGCTTCTTGAAGGTTGTACAGGGCACAAAAAATGTCCTAATACCAAGTATGCTTTTGATTGGGTTAGACTGGTGATTAGTTTAAGTGTCACGGTGTTAGAGTGAAGTCATAAATCTTACTTCGATTAAGTCTTAAAATTGATCTTAAAATATAAGAGTTCACATCGTTTTTTTTTTTGTGAAGTATTTTTTGTGGGATAAAATTATGAGATCAGATAAGTTAGAACGGATAATATCTCACAAAAATATAAATCGTGATAAGTAGATTGATATAAGATATCGGATGAATATATGTGCGAATTTTAAAGTCACGCAAGACATCGGATAAGTGTATGTCCAAATCTTAGAGTCATGTTGACTTAGAGATTGAGTTTTGATCCGTAACAAATGATATCATAGTCAATTTTGAAAGTACTAGTGATGTGTCATCGAAGATGGTGAGTTTTCGTTAGAGTAAGAGAAGATGCCGTGATCTTAAAGGAGGATGTCATGGTTTTGGAGTGAAATAAAAAATCTTACATCAATTGAATATTAGAATTGATATTGAAATATAAAAGTTTATATCGATTTTTTTTATGAAACACTTTTTATGAAATAAAACATAAAATTAAAAAGATCACAATAAATAATATCTCATAAAAATATAAATTATTATACATTCAAATCTTACAATCACACGAACTTAAAGATTAAATATCGGCCTCAGACACAAGGCTACTCTATTTAGTTGAATGGATATCAATTTGTTAGTAAGAAGCAGACTATCCTATATTTTGCCTTTTACTCATTAATAATTCTCAACTTTTTATGGATGTGCAGTGCAGATTTGCATACATGTATTTTTGCTGGGCCGCTGAAACGACTCAATCTGAAGTAATTATGACTTTGCATCTCCTGATTCAGTTGTTCCAAACAAGTTTGAGCTCCGTATGTCAATCAATACAGCATGAAACTGAATGAAATGCAATCCGTATATCTATTTGCATTTTGATTTTTGAGTTGCCACGTTAGCACCAATTCATACCAGGCTCAGTAATTCACACTCACCGCCTCTTTAAGACTTTCCCAATTACCTTTCCCAGGAAAATATATTTTGGGTTTTGGGCCGGAAATAACTAGAATTAACAAATTTGAGTTCGGTAATAATAACATAGTATGAAAATAATATGATAAAATTATGTATAAATTTTTAAAACATATTTCATGTTTAATTATATCTATATAAATTATGATATAATATTATTTATATTTTACATATTGCATTTAACATATGTATGTAAAAAATAAAACAATATTTAAATAAAAAATTATATATGCATAAATGTTTAACATGTGTAAAATATAATAAATTCGTTAAATCAAACCGTGACAAATGAAACATGTATGGTATAACTTATGTAAGTTACAATAAATACCTTGAATTAAACTGTCACATGGAACATGTATAGTATAACACGTTTACATCATATTATTATTTTTTATTAAAATTCAAGTTTATGTTTATTTTATTTTATTTTAAAATTTACAATTTTGCATCAGATTACTTTCTAACTACTGAGTAACAGAACCCTAGCCTTCCTTCCCTTCAGACTTCAGTGTACAGTCCTCTCCTTCACCCAAAACACAGTTACATTCAGTCACTCTGTTAATCGCCGGTCGCCGGTCGCCCCCTCCTGCCTCCTTTCTTCCTCTCCCTGTCTCTCACAATCTTCCTCTCAGTCGTACTCGATCCATCGATCAACAGAGCCACTGTGTCCCTTCCATCGTGCCGCTAATCTCGCCGGAAACCTAAACTAGCCCGAAAACCCCAAAATCAAAGATTAGTCCGCTAACTGCTCCTGCCTTGTGACTCCCCTGACCATTAAGAGGTGTTAAAGTTGATTATAATTCCAACATATCGTCCTCTTCCTCTGATTCTATTTCCATCGCCACCGTCGATCAGGTAAATGCCAATCACTCTCCTACCGTTGCTTTCACTTCATTTCTAGTTAAATTACTGTCCCTTAGTCAAACATTCTAGCTTTTTTTCTCTTGAAGCTATATTTCCTGTTGACTTCAATTTCTTCCAATAAACTAATAATCTGAATTTCCAATTTTTTAAAATGAAATTATGATCTTCAATTGTTCAATTACATTGTCTCCTCCCTCTTCTTATCATTATTCGCCCTGTTTTTTTTTTTTTATATATTTAATATATACTAATAACCAGTGGTTTATGTGGTAAAATGTTCACTTCTTATTTTAGTGTCGCAACTTTTATCAATTAATGGCTACTTTTTTTTTTCTTTATCACTAGTTTTAACTTTTAAATGACCAGGTTAGTCTGAAAATGTTAATACATATTTATTTACTGGACAGTTTTTTTCTTTTAAGTTAATGACTGAACAATTTGATAAATTCGTTTTTTTCCAATAAATTTATTGCTTTTTTCCAGAATGTAAGAGGCTTATACTGGTAAAGTTTCTAGTTCAATAAACAGATTGATAATTGAAAACATGCTTCATTTTCCTTTTCTTTTTTTTTTTTTTAGTTTTTTGTTTTCACGTATTCTGTTTCCTCTTTCTCTTTATCAAGTTTAATTGGAATGTCCACCTTTTTTTACTGAAACATCACTTGTGGTCTGGAGGTTGGAGACTAGGACTTGGATTAGTGTAATTTACACTGTCTAGATGTGTAATAAGCTACTGTTTAGTACTCAGAATTAGAGCCTTAGAGGGTACAAATGGGTTGGCATGGCTAGTCATAAATGGATAGTTGTTTATTATTTTAACCATGTATATCCGTGTTAGTCATGTCTATTCTTGTATACTTGTATTGGTGTTAATTATATCTATTTGTGTGTGTCTTGTTAAACAAATTAATTATAAATGAGTTAATCATGTCGTGTCATGTATAACATATATTATAAACGTGTTGTGTTCGTATTTAGGATTTAATACGTTTTGTAATTCATGTCACGCACGTGTTTCAACACCCCACAAAACATGACACAGATATACTAATTGCTACATCCCTTCTTTCAGTTTCTTTTTCCCTCTTTCACTTATTACTTTGTGAAACTGACTTCCAAAACTCTCTCTAAACCGTAAACCATCATACCTGCCTCTCTCCATCTCACTCTCCCTTCTCCACTGAGCTCGCCGCTGGCCTTGCTCCAGCACTCCGGGCATAACCTATAAATATTTCTCTCTTCTCTTTACCTTTCTTCCTCTTGTCCTTCTCTTTGGAGTCCTCTCTCCGCAACTAAAATTCTTTTTATTTTCAACAAAATTCACCAGATGATTAGTTACGAGGGTTAGCTCAAGAAAGCGGAGGGTAAAAGCTGAAGATGGATTTGTCTCCATTCAAGCAGGACATTGATGAGCTTATTCTTGAATTTGTCCAGGTACAGTCTTTTCTATTCCTTTCTCAATTTTATCATAGTCTTGGTTGTGGGTGTTAGTTTTAAACTTTTAATGGTAATTGTTTGATTTTATATTGACAGAGTGAATTGACAACTTTGAATGACATGAAGAGAGTATGGTTATCGAGGAAATTCTCATACATTTATGAGGCCAGTCCTTCTACAAACTTAGCTTTCTTTATGCAATCACTCTATGCCCATACTATTGGTATGTCAAAGTCTCTTTTTTTCCTTTCTTTTGTTACTTTAAGTTCCGTTTGGTTGTTATTTTTGCTACTTTCTTTTTGGTTCTAAAAATGAGGAAAAATTGCCTTTTGATTTTTTGTCCTTTGCTGACTATCCTATGCTTTTATGCAGGTTACATGGTCAATGTTGATTCTTTATCTCACAGACTAGGAGCGCTCTATTGCCTCTACTGCCTCTATGAAACTCAACCATTCAAACCAGCTTTCAAGATTTATCTCTCACTGGGTATATTTGTACAATTACTTCAGATTATTTCCACTAAATGGTATTTACAGTGATAATGTGATACTTCTATCTTAAAACACAGTTCGTTACAACAACTAAGAATAATGAGAATGGCAATGCTAAAATTATTTTTGATTACCAGGCATCCCCTGTTTTGCCCCCTCTATGTTTTTTTGTTGTTCTTCTTCTTCCCTTTTTCTTTTTGCCTTACTATCGAATCCTTAACTGACAGGAGAGCTGAAGAAGCTTAAAAGCCTTGTTGCTGAGGCAAAAGAAATGGGTATAAAAGTAGTGTCTACTTTGGTGAAAAAGATGCTGGAAAAAAATATGTTTCTGTTTGGGTTTGTGGACTTAAATGAAGGTTCAGTTAGTGAGACAATTAACAGTCTGACAAAATTACAAGATGCGCGAATACAAGTTGCATATGAGAAGTAGGTTCAGATATCTATCGTTTACTAGTTTGTTTTATTATATTTGTTATGGTTTTTGTTTTAACATTTCTTTATGTCTTTGCTGGTTTCCTTTTCACTAATAGGTTATTTACCGATACTGAGATTGAGCAATACCTCCACATGGACTTGGTATGTTATACAACTCGTGAAATAAAATTATGAGAGGAAGCTTTTGTGGCAGATATTAATTTTCCTATATACTGCCATGACTACTATTAGAAGGGACACAATTGCCTTCTAATTGTAAGTGGTGCTGACAATGTTGTTTGAAATAAAAGCTGTGACTTGTTCTTAGCTGGTTGCAATCCATGAATACTGCAGAAGACATTTGTATGTTAAATTTAGATCTGTATGTTCAATTTTGTCTTGTTGGATAGGCCTAGAATTTCACTTGCATGCTCCCATTCTGTAGACAACAAGAGCTTTAGAATATATGCAATGTGTGCCATGAATTTGCTCTTGTAATCCTTATTTAATTAGGTTTTGCGATAAAATACTTCCAATTATGTGATACGTGCTCTTAATGCTCAATGTACTAGGGTATGGAGGTTGACCTTAATATGATAAAGAAAATGTCCACAGAATATGCAGTGGCCAAGAAACAAGCCATTGAAGGTACAATTTTTGCTATTTCTCTGGCACTCTATCAGCCATTACAATATGCCTAAACATGACTATATATTTTTGAACTGATTACTTTAATACGGGGATATGGTGTTATGCTTATCATTTTGGGCCTGGATTGAAGTGCATTTGACTTTGAGGATGTCCTTAGTAAATGAGCATTTTTATGTAGCAAATATTGAGCACCTTGATTTGGTATTATATGTGTTATGTCTCTTGGTCAGTTACACTTGCCTTTTCCCATATTTCATAAACCTATATTGATGAATATCATGAACTCTATTAGTATTTTCCCAATAATAGTGATCATAATAATGAATCTAAACGCCAATATTATTTATCTCAAAAATATTTTGAAATATAAGTCATCCATGTCCATGATTTCGTCATTTCATTTTGTTGGTAAATTATTTCTCCATGAATATCTTTAAATTTTTGTTTTCCTTTGCTGCTTCCCTCTGCATTAATATTAAAATTCTGCATTACCTATAGTGCCAAATTAATCTCTAAAACTTTTCTACTCATGGCTTGTGTAGCTACTTTTCCTGTTTGCCTGGTTTTAACCTGTTTATGATTTCTTTTATTTCAGAAGTATCTAATCATTTTCTTATTCTGTTTTAAATTTAATTTCTTCTTAAAGAGGCCAGAGAGGTTGTGGATGTCCGGAACATAAAACATATATCAGAAAATACGGAATCTCTTAGTGAAATAGTGGAGAAGATAGATGAGAACTGGAACAACCAAAGAGAAGCGTTTTATCAGCGGACTGGAATGAACCAAAAGCTGGCTGAAGAGGAACAACTGCAAGAAAATGAGCGGGAAAACAATGTTGCTGATGAAGTTTTACAGCTACTATATCAACATGATTAAATTCTTTTCCCCAAGAATTCATTTTAATGCAGGGCATCGTCCCCTGATTTTTGTCAAACTAATAGTGTCAGAGGTGGTTTTGGTTTTAGTATCATTTGTAATTATGTTAGTAATAATGAAATATAAAATCAATTTCGTTATATATATATATATATAGAAACGGGCACCTGAATTTGAAGACATGTAAAATGTTTTCTATGAAAATGTTTAATGAAATTTCAGTTATCAGAAATTTGCACTTTGATTATTCAATAGTCTGAAAGTGTTGTTTCAGATGCTAGAGCTGTTAAGCAATGGCAGGTGAAACCATTGTGTTGTGTTGTGTTGTAACGGTAGTAACGTGCCTACTTGCCTGGGCGGAATTATAAGGGTTCTGGGCTCTAGCCGAAGCTCCCGTTTGCGTTTGCCCCCAAAATTGCTTTAAAAGATAAAATGTTGAAGGATCTATGTGGGAGGCTTTGGAGAGATGAGTAAAAATGTTACGAGATAAATGGAATTTGATTAGATTTCATATTTGGTGAACCTTTGCTCAAGCAAAAGACAAAAAATTTTAGGACATCAAATTTTAGGTTAACTTGGTTCTTGAACTGCAGCTGTAAACGTGGTCCATAGGGGGAAAGGAAACAAGCTTGAATAGCAAGAAGAAACTTTTATTTCAATTTCTTCACTCCATCTTGATACATAAAATGAATAAAACTTTTATTTCAATTTCTTCCCTCCATCTTGATACATAAAATGAATAAATGGGTAAAAAATATGAGGGAATATAAGCATAAACCCCAACCAGAGCAAAACCTACTACTTTCCAACATATCCCTTTAGTGAATATGACACTCTAGTAACCTGCTGCATCAAACTCATAACTCAACTTCAACAACATGGACCTTTTGCCCTTCTTCAGGCAATTTTTCCAAGCTGAACTTTACCAATCCAGACAATGAATCATAATCGAATTCAACTTCATTAGATCCAACTGTGCACTTTCTTGGTTTAGCTGATGAATAAGCACCAAAGTTGCCACAACCTTTAATCTCCATGCAAACTTTCCCTACCAATTCATTACTAGAATTCTCCAATCTCACACCGCCTAAACTGCTGCTTTCACCTCCATATCCAACATCAAGCTCTGATAACTTGCCACCAGCTTTAGTTTCATATTTTAGCCCCTCAATGGCACCACCCGAGTTGTACATATTGATGAGTCCCAAGGGCGCAAAACTGAATCCTGGTGCCAAAACCTTGATAGGTGTTAGTGTGAAGATTTCATGCTCAAGGACCTTCAGGGACACTGGCATGGCTGCATTGTATGGAAGGGTGATTAGTTCACTGGTCCGGTGACAGTAAACTGCACAGTCACCAGTCCAGTCAGGGTCCAAGGAGGCCTCTGCAATGAGGTGGACATCACGGCCCTTTACATGGGCCGATATGGACTCCGTATTGGTTTGGTGGAAAGTATTTTTTCTTGCAGCGCTGCTCCATGCTGCGCCTTGGCAGTTGTACACACCAAGAACCCCGGTGTACTTGTTCATGTTCCATATCTTCAACAAGCTGCAATCAAAGAAAGAGTATAACAGTAAGGAAGTGCCAACGAGTATAACAACATATCAAAATTAATGTGTTTACTAATGGAGCTTTTTAAACCAAATTTAACTTCCAAGGCTTGTAGAATTTTCATATCAACAACATCAAAGTCCTAATATGTAAAAAGTTAAGCAAGAAAAAGGCTATGTTCTAACATTTTTTTATTTCTATCCCATTCCACACAAGGAGAGTGAAAAAGCTAAGCTTACCTAACGCCATCACGGGCTGGATCTGTAAACAAGCAATCACGAGTGGGTCGTCCAGGCAAACGAGCCCGGAGGATCGACCCATCAGGCAACACCAATTTCTTCAGAAGCTCAAAGTTGTGCCTTCCGGGCGCATCACTGTTGCAAAGAAAAGCTTAACGTTTAGCCACCAATAACCATGAACTCGTAACCAAAACAATTTTGATCATAAACGAAGCAAACAAAAGGGGCCGATGGGGTTGGCCTACTTAGTCCTTACCTAACATAGAGGGGGCCACCACTAATAGCACGTGCTGAGGCGTGGTACTCGGCGACCGGATGAAGAGAGTGGAACATGTCCCAATCCGGTTGCATGAATTCCCCAAGGAAAATACTGTTGTAAGCCACCGCCGCAATGTGGATGGTGTGTGATACTGGGTCACGCGGGTAGAAATCATCTGATGCTCTCACCACCGCCGTCTGTTTCGAACTGTTTCCGCACAACTCCAAAATCAGAACAAACAAAACCCCCCAAAAAAATTCAATTAAAAAAAAAGAAATGAAAGGAGGAGAAAATTACCAGTATAGTGCATCAGTGTTATGGCTCATGCAAGCGATAATCCCATTATCGGGAAAATTCCTCCCCACCGAGCCATCAAGAGCCTGATGATATTGCCTCGTCAACTCCACCCTTCCACCCAACCGAGCTCCAAGTGTTTCCAAAATGCACTGCACGTCCACCTTTACTCCATCTATACCCGCATCCGCCAGATAACTGTGCAGCTCAGTGTAAAACTTGTACACATTTTTTGGATTCACCAAACCCAACCCTTGAACCGCTATCGCGTCAGTTTTACAACCCGGTTCATTATCCACCACTCCGTTCGAAACCATCGGGTACCGAATTTTCGATCCGTATCCTTCCATTTCCTCAACTCCGGGCCGCACTCCACCCCAGTACCCCGTAATCGCGTGCCAGACGTACACATAATTTAAACCGTATTTTTCTTTCGCAATCTTGACGATGTTTTTGATCCCCACCGTTGGATCATCCTTCTTTCGGAATTTCTTGTTTTCTGTTATCCCGGTCAAACGAAGCAACGGCTGTTGTTTTGTTTCGGCCTGATCGGCCGATGACGATGAATTTTCTTCTTGCTGGGGATCCCCACCGACAGATTGCCATCCGTCGTCGATGATGACGAACTTCGGAGGGGTCCCACCGGAAGCTAAAGACTCGAGCCCAGCTTCGACGCCTTCTTGAGTAACGTCTTGGTAAAACGCGTCCCAGGTGCACCACCCAAAATAGTCAACGATTCCAGGTAATTTTTTCTCGTGCCGTTGACGGAACGTTTTGAGATGCAATTTGACGGCCCTGATTGCTTCCGTGATTGTGCTGAAAGGATCGATACCAGCGTGGATAAAAATGGAATGGGTAAACGACGACGCTTTGGTGTCGGCGTCGCCACTCTCTAAACACAGTTCTAGCTGGTCGTTTTGGTTCCCCTGTAAGACGGCTCGAAATGAGCCTTCAATCAAAGGGAGGAATACGGTGTAGACGATCTGATTTTCTTCGGTTGAGTCAAGGTTGGACCCTTCTTTGGTTTCGACCAATAGGAATTGAGTCTCGAGAGGAATGTCTTTGCCTTGATCTCCCATTTTCTGGGCCATCCACCATAACTTAAACCTAAAGCAGGACATGAACCGGACGTCGCGTAAAGTGCCGATGGGGACCACATGCCTGCTGTTATCTTCATCAAAAACCGCTCCCAGGAAAACTCCCTCGACCGGACCGGATGCTGTACCGGACGTCGCGATCACATTTTCGGGAACTCCGGTTAGGATTGTCTGGTCCTTTACAATTAATTTCCTCTCAGCGATCCTAGCTGCAAGTTTAATCGTCATTCCTTCTAACTCATCTCCTTCTTTGTATATGTTCTTACAAAGGTGGGTTTAAATCACTTCTCTGCAAATCCGAAAAATACCCATTCAGAAACCATAAATTCAAAACAGCAAAAACTTGAAAGGAAATAAAATGAGAGCTCCTAATTACCTTAAAAGACAAAACCGACAACGCTGGATTCGGAGAAACTCTGGAAACTCCAACACCTGAAATAGCAGAATTGAAATGTTTCTGAAAAAATTGCTTTGAAAAGCTTTGGGAGAACAGTAAACTTCGAGGTTGATTAGATTTGTAGTGAAGGTAAATGGAAGGAAGACTCCTATTTATAGCTAAGAATCGTGAACTGTAACAAGAAGTATTTGACACCATTTTTTTCCTTCTTTCGTCGTCCCGCACTTTCTTGTCGGGTTTAATAATGTTTTCGCTCTACCTATCAAACGGGGCGGATCGCCTTAAGTCTGTTAAGCCGTTGAACTTGACGGTAGATTAGATTGCCACGTCTGCTCCACGTTGTACCAATCATATTTGTAGGTTTATTTAGACCGACCCGAAAGCTTTCTTCAGTTTCAGGGTACTGTTTTCGTGTTGCCGTGGATTATTATTATTATTTTTTTAAATGCAGGATGATTACTGTCCTCGTAAGCACTATTTGACGTCTCTTATGCGCTTAACCAAAAACCAAACGCGTAGCTTTGGCCTTTTAATTTCCACGTGGCACACCACATTAAATGGCTGCTTTTTAGAAATTTCTTTATAAAATTTTACAAGGCAAGGGACTTTTTTTTATTATTTTTTACTGTTGAAATTAAACAAGAGGCAGAAAAATCTTCGCGTATAGGAAAATATCGAATACGTAACGGGGAACGAAGACACCAACCATGAAGAATGATTGATTATCCATGTCAGAAGTTCATGGGATGGACCCATATTTTCGATAAATTAAATGGTTTATGCCTTTTTGGGTAAGGAGCTAAGGGGGAACGAGCCAAACATGGCGAGTGGGCTGCACCTTTCCCTGAAACTAGGAGAGATCTGGAATCAGGAATTTCCTTTATTTTTGTAATTGATATTTTTGTTTTGAAGTTTGATATATAGTAATAATAAAACAATATCCATGATCAATTAATAGATTTTTTTTTAAATGGTAACGGAAATGATGTCATCATTTCAAAAAGTGAAGCATCAATAATCTAGTAACGGATTCAATCAGTGCTAGAATTGGTGCCAGAATTTTTTTTTTTTTTTTTGGGTGCTTTTTGGTAGTAATAATTTTGATGATACGACCTGTTCCATTTCACAAGGGAAAATTAAGGTTGTCTTGCCTCGGTTGCTGTTTCTTTGGGAGAGAATTGATGCACCATTAGCAATGAATCTGGACAAATTCAGATGGGAATGGATACATTTTGTTGAGAAACAAACAAAAGCTAAACTAATTAAAGATGAATTTTTGAAACTTGTCCCATCGACGATGAGATTTATTTGTCTGAACCCGGGGGCTCCATTGGTTCATCCTTTTTAGGGGTAATAGCGTTCCCATGGGGTTGGGTTTTATCCATTAATTCAAGTTCGTCCTTTTTACACTTTGATAGAGCTAAATTCGTTGGTAGAAAGCTAGAATCAAAGACTATGCAAGAATTAAGGGTTTACCTCAACCAATTCATGCAATTTTTTTTAAAAATTAACATTTAATAAATTTAAAATTAAAATTTAATAAATAATCTTTTCATTTATTTTAAACCTCTTTTGTACAAAAATTAATTATGGTACACGATAATCTCTCTAAACTCTAAAGGATAAACCTAAGAGATTGAACAAATTAAATTTAAGCCATGACTCAGTAAAAGAAAACTGTATTAATTAATGTCTTCACAAAAACAAATTAATGCCTTAATCCAGAATACGGGGAAAATGCATCTAATCTAATAATAATAGGTTTATACGAAAATTACAAAA